TTTCTGTGTATTCCTAACTGGCCTCAAACTCAGGCAACCCTCCTTCCTCGCTCGGCCTTGAATACTCAACTTAGAGGTATGAGCAAAACTTTATTGGTTTCATCTCCATTTAATTTTAATATGCGATACACAGCTCTTCTGAGATAGATTATAAAATACGAAGGGTAAATTAGACTAGTTCATATCTCCAGTGAGTACATAGTCTTAACGGATATGTTGATTCTTACTGAGACATTCAGTGACTTCTACTATTTTCAATTTAATCATGGCTTGTTTGTTTGTTTGTTTGTTTGTTTATGTCAATTCTCCCCTCCTACCACGCGGTTCCCAGGGTTGAACTCTGGTTTCCAGGGTTAGTAGTTAGTGCCTGCACTCACTGCATGCTGCATTTTTCCAAGAAACAGCCTTCCATTCTGTAGCTCAGGCTGGCCTGGAACTTACTACGTAGCCTGGGCTAGTGTCCAAATCATGGTAGGTATCCCTCCTTCTTCAGACCATCCAGTGCTGGGATTCTAGGCTTGGGCCACCACGGAAGCCACAGCAGACCTTTAAAGGTTGAGAATGAAGTGATTAGCTTTAAATGTTTAGACTGGACTGTCGTGAGTCTATAGAAGGTCACGGGACCAGTGAATGGCCAAAGTGGATCTAAGTGTGCGAGGCAAAGGCTTGCTGGTGCGCATAGAGGCTGGGGCCCAGCGAGGGCAGAAAGCACCTGTGGTGCCCCCCGTCTGTGACCCTAATGGAATTTTATAACAGATGAGTGAGATTCAAAAGGAACACTGCCAAACTGTCCATCACTAAATACTAACTGCGTCGGCTAGACAACAAACAACGGTAGAGTTGAATTGAGTTCTTTTTAAAAGAATACATCTTATATGCCTACTGTGTGTGTGTGTGTGTCCGTCTGTCTGTCCGTCTGTCCATCCGTCTGTCCATCCGTCTGTGAATGCCTCACAATGTGTACGTGGAGGCCAGAGGACAACTTGTGGGAGTTGGCTCTGCCCTTGCACCCCGTGAGTTCCGGGGACTGAACTGGGTTTGTCGGGCTTGGCAGCGTCACCTTTCCCTGCTGAACCGTCTCACCGACTCTGAACTGAGTGCTTCATAATGCTACTACCTGAAGGATGGGATAATTAAAAACCCCGAAGTATAATAATATACAGACAGTGTGAAGAAAGTAAGTTCAAGATGGTGCTCGTTCTCAAAGTTAAAACCCAAAGAGAGATGGGCAGCCCCCTCCTAGAGCAATCAACTTGGAGAAAGGAGTAAAACCAGATGCTCTGGTGTTGCGGACATCTCCTGTGGTTCCCGTGATGGTGCAGCCTGCTACGGATACGGATAGCCGGTTCCCCAGGGGAGCACAATGCTGGGGAATGGGAGCCGGTGCATAATAAATCGGAGATGGTGGAAGGAGACCGACTGTCCTGGGACACTGATAGCAGAAGAGAGACAGAGTGTAATTCACGGGGCGGGGGGCATAGCAAGAAGAGTTAGTCTTTTAATCAAATTCTAGCCTGTTGCAGCAATCATTTCACACGTATCCATGCACCAACATTGCGTTGTACACTTAGAATAAGCACATCTCTGAACTACCAAATATTGGTCCATAATGCTGGTGGGGCAGTTCTAGAAAAGCCAGAGAGGGCAATGACCTTAGAGGTGGGGAAAGGGAAGGCTAAAGTCGGGAAATCTACCTCCGAGCATCTAGGAAGAGGCACAAAACTGGTCCTGAGGTGCAAAGGAGAGGAGGATGCAGTTAGGGATGCAGAAAGAGACGCTGACGGACAGGTGGAGGCAACTCCCACGTGTCCGCCTCTTTTCTAATTGCTGTGAAAACATATCTGGCATGAGCAACTTCGGGAAGGGTTTGCCCATCATGGTGGAATCGGCGTGGCAGCAAAGGATGCTGGGGTCCAGGTTGCTTTCCCTCCTTTATTCAGTCAGTGGTTCAAGCCCGTGGACTAGTGTTGCCCACATTCGGGGTGTCTTCCCCGTTTACACAAACGTTTCTGGGAACACCTTCATAGATACCCACAGAAGTGTGTTTCCATGGCGAATATAAACCCATTCAAACTGGCAACGATGATTTTCTGTTGCATCTTCTAAGTGAGTGCATTTCACAGACTCAGAGTGATGGACGTAAAAGTTCACCAGTGGACCAGAACTCCAGATGGTAGGGTACCAGTGGACTCTGTAGGTTAGTCTAGCCAAAATACGAGGTCCTCTGTGTGGTGTTTCTACACCATTGGGAAGGCATTTGTGACTTTGGGGAGGACAAAGATGTGGTTAGACGAGAGTAGACGTGATAGAATTGCTGAGCTGAGCCTGTGTCCAGCCTGGAAATTCATGCGAGGGAGGACAGCACCACTTTAGGAAACGGTTAACTGTGTTTCCTTAGCTTCCTTTGGGGCGGTGGCTCTCAGCCTGCAGGTATTGAAGAACAGATATCCTGCATATCAGCTATTTACTTTACAATTCCTAACAGTAGCAAAATGACAGTTATGAAGTAGCAATGAAAATAATTTTATGGTTGGAGGGTCACCGCAACAGGAGGAACTGCATTAAAGGGTCCAGGCACTAGGAAGGCTGAGAACCAGTGACCCTAGGGTAAGTGGCTACCGGGAGACACTATCATCACTTCTCCCTTGGTCAGTGCCTTGGGGAAATGGCTTATGTGGTTTCTGGGTCAAGGACATGCAGAGTCTGAGAGGTCAACCCTCAGAGATCCCTCCCTTTCTTGGCAGATGGAGAACCATTATTGCCACAGTGCTTTGGATTTGTGTATTCACAGTGAGTCTCACATACTTGCAAGTCTGATTCGCCTCTGCTAGCTGGGGCTCCATTCTGTTCATAGATGCTGCTGCTCTCCCGCAGAGAAACTGAGACAGGACAGCTGACCTCCTAAGAAGTCCTGCACTGGTCCATTGCCCTCCCCTGCCTGCTTCCCTCTCTGCCCCTCCCCTCTCCTCTCCTCTCCTTCCTTCCTTCCTTCCTTCCTTCATTTCTTCCTTTCCCTTTCGTTTTTTTTTCTTTTCTTTTTTTTTTTATTTTCCATTTTAAATTTAGATAAGAAACAAGGTTGCTTCACAAGTCAGTACGAGGTCCCTCTCCCTTTCCCTCCCCTCCTCCCGTGCCCTCCCCCCCATCCCCCCCGTTATCCCCTCATTCCCCCAGGGAGGGTGAGGCCCTCCATGGGGGTGTCCATAGTCTGTCATTTCATATAGGGCAGGGCCTAGACCCTTCCCCAAGAGTTCAGGGTGAGAGTGCACCTCACATTGTTCTATGGGAGTCCAGAGACCGTGTGTATACTTGATGGGTACTGATCTGCTGTCCAAGGCTCAATATGTGGCACCAGTGTTGTCTTACCAGGTCTCCCAGCTGCTAGCCTCTGACTTCCTAAGCACATCTCCTCAACCTTTGGCAGCCGGACACTGTGACACACGCCATAGGCAGTCAATGGGGCCTGAGGGGCCCCTCACCTCAGGGTGACATTAAGACCAGCATGTTAGAGATATGGAAGGTACCTTACAACGTGCCTCATCTTCAGCCACTGTCTGAACCACTCCCGCCTTCCAAGCTCCGGCAACAGTGAGCCTTCCTAATGTTGGAGAACATTGTGCACGCCTGCAGGTGGCGCTGTAGTTTACTTTATGCTCCTCTTCTGTTCTTGTTTCCCTAGAGAGACACCTTGAAGACGTCTCCATTCTCTAGCTCTTTTTGACCCTCCTCTCTCTTCTAGACCATCACCGATATGTCTCTCCCTCCTGCGTTTTCTGGTACTTTGTAATGTGGTGTCTGGAACATTATGTTGTGTTTGTTACACTTCTGGTTTCCTTAACTGGACTTGGATTTCTTGAGCTAAAGCATGGGGCATTTTGATACGAGGGCTTGTGCCTAGTCTTACTGTAGTATGTTATGCCACGTTCCGTTGACGTCGCTGGGCAACCTGCTCTTTTTCTGAAGGGAAACTGAGACGGAGTGGATCTGGGAGAGGCCTGGGAGGAGTGGAAGGAGAGGAGATTGTGGTCAGGGTGTAATGCATGAGAGAAAAATGAATAAATCTGAGGCAATGGGGCATTAGCTTGAGAAGATAGCTTGGGGGAGTTAAGCATTGCAAGTATGAGGACCTGAGTTCAGATTTCCGGAACCCACATGGAACTGGGAACAGTAGCAGGCTTCCGTAGTCCCAGAACTCCCGTAGTGAGATGAGGGACAGAGACAAGAGAATCCCTGGAAGCTTTGCAGTTAGCTAGCTTGGCCTTACACAGTGGCAAACAACACAACCAGAAGCACTGTCTCAAAATCAAGGTGGAAGGTGAGGCCCGACACCTGAGGTTGCCCCCGACCCTTACCATGTGCAGTATGCCCACACACGTACACATGTAAGGTTAATAAAAGGTAAGTGAGGTCACAAGCAAGCTATCAGTGTATTTCTCTCATGTCTGCCACATAGGAGATCTTCTAGACATTTTAGTTGCATCCATTTGATTCAGAGGCTCACTCCACAGGTAGCCCCGGATGAGCACAGGGGAGCAGAATTCTCCAGAAAGGGATCTAGGTAGCTCTCTGCATGGAGCTCCAACAGTAACAGGCCCCTTACAATTAGAGCATTGGACAACTGAAAACTTCTAGGACATGGGATTTTGGTGGGGAAAGTTGTCTTACAAGTGATTCTTTTTAATCTTCAGATGAGGAAACAAGTTTTGTTTCTATCAGGCCACACATGTAGCTTTTGACACCAGTACCAGTTCAGTCAGAGACCTTTGCAAATTCAGGAATGCTAAATCATTTTACATTCCAGGCGAGAGCAAGATAACGCAGGTTGATATTAGTCTAGGAGAGCTTCACTAAGGAAGTGTTTGATGAGACTGGGTATCTGATGAGAAGCTCCAGTGAAGTGTTTTGTGGGTATGTGTTCTGTTTGATAACGTCAACTGTCAGAGGACATAGGTCATGTGTCTGTGTTTCTGAGGTTTAATTGGGCCTTTTATTTCCTGTAGGTTTCAAAACCTGCTATGGTCCAGAAAGATGTTTGTGGACAACATGAAGATTTATAACCACAGTTACATCTACATGCCTGCTTTCTCTATGAAGACAGGAACAGAGCCCTCTCTCCGTGTATATTACACGCTGAAAGACGTCGGGGCCAATCAAGCAGTGCTTTTTGCCAACCCCAACTTTCTGCGGAGCATTGGAAAGTTCTGGAAGAGTAGGGGGATCCATGCCAAGCGCCTGTCTACAGGACTCTTCCTGGTGAGCGCAGCCCTGGGCCTTTGTGAGGAGGTGGCCATCTATGGCTTCTGGCCCTTCTCTGTGAATATGCACGAGGAGCCCATTAGTCACCACTACTACGACAATGTCCTGCCCTACTCAGGCTTCCATGCCATGCCTGAGGAATTTCTCCAGCTCTGGTACCTTCATAAAATTGGTGCCCTGAGGATGCAGCTAGATCCATGTGAGGAGCCATCGCTCCAGCCCACTTCCTAGGGACCGTAAAAGAAGAAAGGGCTAGGTTGGGTATTTTTTGCTAGGTTTTCTACGTGACTCCCAAAAGGAACAACCAAAGTGTGTCATGGATTGACATGATAGGAAACAAACAAAACCCGAGCAGAACTTTGCTTTTGATGTTGGCTTGGAGAACAATGAGAAATAGAACGTTGTGGAGGAACATTTTATAGAAGGTTGTGGATTTGCAACTGGGAACAACACCAAGAAGATGACGCTGGCAGAGCATCTGAGTGGTTCAGATCTAGAAGATGCAGTTCAAGGACCAGATGAACTCTAATGATTGCTAAGGCCGAGGGGCTCATCATGGAAGCATGTGAGAGATGCTGGGGTATTCCTGAGTGCCAATGTGCACCGGCATCGTAGTCGTTTTAAAAGACCCGTCTTATTGAGACTGTCATTAGAAATGTAGATTTTAAAAAATTATTATTTATTTTTGCCCTGTTCGGGGCTATGGGTGGGTGAGTGGGTAGACTTACAAAATTCTTCCTGCTGATTTTTGTGATTTGTTAAAAACAAGTCTATGTTGACTATCGTCCCTCCACTTAGCACAGTTTTAAATAAGACTTGCTTCTTGCCTCTTTGGTTAAGTCTACTTAGCATGAGTCTCTGTTGAATTTAGACTGTGTCGCTTCATAGTCTAGATAACATGAGATGCTTCCTCTCCTCAGATGTTGAGAGGGAAACTCAATTTTAGGTCCCCATTACATCAGCCCATTGGCTCTCTTGCTGTTACTTTCACAAAGTCACTCTGCACACAAGTACATTATTTACTTGTATAGTGGCAAAAGTGTCCTCATTTAAAGACAGGTGAAGTAGCTCCCAGAGAGTAAGAACTTAGTCTCTGAGGCAGATAGACCAGAAGGCAGGGGGCCCTCTTCTCTTTGACATGAGTATTTCCCATCAAGATAACTTGTGTGTGTGTGTGTGTGTACATGTGAATATTTCCTCTCAAGATAATGTGTGTATGTACACATGAATATAGACACACATACTCTGACACACTGTACAAAGTCATCAAAGATGATTCTCATGGAGCTGTCAAACCTGAGTGTGCATGGCCTGGTGTTTGTAGCCAGTGTTGGAGAACTACAGGGATACAGTGTGGAATCTTCCATGAGGTTGTAAGCTGAGCTGGCGTAGCAGTTTCTCTCAGTTTGCATGCCAGCGCGGGGTGCAAGGTGTACCCTCAGATACGTAATCCAGAATGGTAACTGCTCTCTTATTCACCCTGGCCCCCACCCAAATCTCAGGAATAGGCCTTGTGCTGAGCATAGTGACAAGTGACATGACTCTTGCAAGTGGGCAGGTAGGAATCACTAGCTGTGCATTTCCTTAGTGTCAGTTGGGGATGCTTGGGGAGGCATGGTATGGCAGCTTTGACACAGCAGGGGAGCTCTATTCTAAGGCCAAATGTGTTCACTGTAGGAACGGGGACAAGCAGGGACATGCTGTGTGGTCTTTGTGCTCTGAGGTATGTTAGGCTCCACGGAGATGTGAAGACTCATGTTTATTGTTTCAAGTGTTGTCATGGTGTAGGTAAAGTTGACCCACAAGCTCTACTTCACCTTGAAGGAAGAAATTAGTATATTGACCATGTCTATGAAAACGGGTCTCTAAAAAGAAGGCTAGCTTGCAAGACATCGAAGTTATTGAACAGTTGCACATTTGAGGGTAGGGAATTTCCAAATGTGATCAAATATCCAGGATACTCCAGAAATTAGTTGTGCTGGTGTTTATAGGATGAAGAGAATTAAGTTCTCCACTGTGCAGGGCTGGCTTAGTATTTCCATCTTGTACGACAGGCAGCACAAGATATCAGGAAGGCAGTGTGAGCTGTGTTAGTCATGTCTGTGCAACCCTGAATATAATCCCTGTTTTGAGCAACTGGTATTTAATAATTACCTAAGAAAGGATGCATTTTTACTGGTAGACTTCATTAAAAGTGTAACAGGCCGAAGGAAGCAACATACACAAAGATTACTTAAATATGCATTCAAATGAGTGCACTAATTGGTCAAAACCTAAACAAGAAGCTCATAAAATCCACGTATCACAGTTCACTGAGAATGCTATCTGGGAGTTTGAGCTCTCGCTACCGTTCTTGGAGCAGGGCGGTGTAATAGATTTGTGTGTTAGTCTATACAACTGTAAAGCTACTCTACGTAGCATCTGAATTGTAGAAGAGAAATGGTCAACACTGTCAGTTAGACCTGTGATGATTGCCATTCCCTCTCAGGTGCCATGAGCCAACACCCGAGGACGTTCTCATTGTTATAGCCAAGAATCCTAGCTGTTTGTTGTAGGGAACAGCCATGGATGATGGCCCAGCAGCACCAAGCCATTTGCCACAGAGAATGACCCAGAGAAATGGCAGTAGTGTGAAAATTGAGAAACCACAAGTTAGAAAAAACGAAAAGTTTGACTGCTCATGCTATCGGCCCTTTAAGACACAGGGGTAGTGTCCATGTCATGAACATCATCACTGCAACCTTTCATTATTTTATAGAGACAATTTATAGGTATGTCATATATGTACCTTTTTGTGTTTGATTATATGATGTAGCTAAGCAAAAGGCAGGAGTATGTGTGTATGTGTGCATGTGAGTGTGCGTGTCTGTGTGTGTATAGTTCTGTGTGTGCGTTTAACATTATTTTTAGTAAAAATATGTATTTCTATAAAGAAACCTTTAAGTGTACGTAAGTGTGCATGCATGGCAGCATGCATGTGAGAGGGAGACAGAGAGACAGACCAACAGACAGACAGACAGACAGAGACAGAGAGAATGAGACAGAGATGTAGACAGATAGACAGATGTTCAGGTAATGCCCTTTATGTTTCTTTGCTGGGAGGCCAGTCATCTATAGTTTTAATTTCTGTTTGAAAAATACCAACTTTGTGGAACTTTTTGCTGGAAAACCCTTGTAAGGAGGCATATAATGAGAAACTCTGTCACCAGTGTCCTGAGGGGTCTTCATCTTACGTGCTCCAGTGTTCTGAGGGCCCCATGGCAGAATCTGGTCATCTTGACCCGCTTGCAGCCCTGCTTATGATCATGAGGACTAGAATTCTATTCTCTGTGTACACGGATAAACCTTTGGAGACCCTGAAGCTAGGGAGAGAGCAAATATCCCACAGTTCCTGGGTTGTGTCTTTGAAACCACGGACCTCTGAAGTCCAGAGTCCACATTCAGTGTATAAACTAAATGTGAGGCCACAGGATTTAGTCTCAGCCTTATACAATTTCTGTTTTATAAGTGTGAGAGTCTTAAAGTTACAGATATCACACACACACACACACACACACACACACGAATATGAATAGTATCTGCCTTATTCACAGCCTTAATGTGCCATTTAACGTTTTCACATACATCCCAGAGATGAATGATTGACACGTGAGAATGAGTGGAAAGGTCGTTATGGCACAAAAGAGGAATTATACTTCATGGTTACTCATCTACCTATGGCTGACTGTCAGTCTCACTTCTGTGTTAAAAAGCCTTCCTGGGTTTTGCTTTTCAGTTGAAGGTGTTGGGATTCAGTCAATGATGCAAAGTTGTCCAAGAGTTTTATGGTGTAATATCTGAATATAATGAGTGTGTTTCATCTTGCTTCTGTGTAATTCAACTCCCTCCAGGTAGCTGTCACTTTCAAGTGTATGTTTCATGCAATAACAGTAAACACCAAGAGATGTGACTTAGTCCAAAACAAAAAAAAACTGGACTCATGGAATTCCGGATCCCTCTTTACAGAGATAGAAAGAAAAAATGCAGTAGAGAAAAAGATGTAACCAAAATGAAAACTAAGTGATTATTTCCCCACTGCAAATGATCTATTGGGAAGGGTCTCAGCCTCAGAAGGCAGCTCAGCAGACAGGAAGGAATGGATTGTTGTCTTAGAACGCAGTTGCAAGAATGGAATGGCTTCAAGATAGCAGAAAGGAAATATGTTGCCATGCCATCGTTAGGGTTAGGATGAAAAGATGGGCCATGAGCATGGGTTGTGGGGCTGTTGTGGGGAAGATGTGAGGCTGGTACCTGTCTTTTAGTGTGGATCTCGGGAGTCTTGGAGACCCCAGGTTCCTGCCCACTCCAGGCCGTGCTCTCCTGGGTGCTTGAGTTTGGTGAAGCAACCATCTACACATCCCTCTGTTACCTGCCTTTTGATTCATACTCTGAAGGTGAGCTATAGTTTACCTCTCCTGTCAAGACGATGCAGCAATGGCGGCATATTCCACCCTGATGTTGACCGGTGGACGTGGTCATCACACACTGCACAAAGCAAGAGTTAGTGTTAGCTTCCTGTCCTTACAATGATTCCCAAGAGAGGCGATGGCAGCTTAGATTCATTATCCTTCATGTTTTAGTTCAATCCCTCTCCCTCCCTCCTTCCTAATTTTATTTATGGAAAATAGGAAAGTAACTGATTTGGTAATGTTGGGGAGCGGCAGAGGGTGCCTTAACTTTTCCTGGCTTGGCTCCCCACTTACGTATTCCCGTCATGTGTTTTGTTGCTTTGTAGATGTTTCCATGTCTGTCCAACTTGTACCTTCATCATCAGCAAGGACCCTTTTAAATGTAGCAAATGGGACTGTTTTATAGAAAGTTGTGATAGCATATAGGCCTTGGAGAAAGTCTGATAATGGTGTGTAAATATCCTTTGCTCAGTTATGGGACGTTTTTCCTAAGGTCTGTTAGGTGATAACTACAGGAAGATTCCTAAAGTTAAGAACGTTTTTCCAGAAAACTCCAGTGTTCATGGAAGCAAGGAACCAACATATTTCTGTTTTACATTCTGTCCTTAGCACTGACAGGCTTCTCTCTCCACAGTGATGGCTGCTGTGGTGCACCACGGAGACATTACACATGAGAAGGGGAGAGAAAACACATACAGCACACTATTCTGAAGCCTGCTTCATCTTTTAAAACAAATTCTATAATATTACCAGACTTATAGTGACTGTGCAGCACAGTTTGATCTGCATAATACTGGGGGAATATTTTTACCTTTAGCCTCTGTCATTGCTCATTCTAGATGGTTCCACATGTACGCAAGCTGTTTTATCGTTGTGTATTTTCAGAGGTTGGGTAAGAGTAAAAATAGGAAATCTTAAATATCCTTTCTCATGTATTATCTACTAGTCCATGGATATAATAATGCTGGGGAAATTTTTTTAAATCAGACTATAGAATTGAAGTCACCTTTGAAGTGTTTACAGAGTGGCTCCCTCCTATTAAAGCCAAATTTGATGATTGACAGGAAGTATGGGGTAACCCAACGCTCTTCATCATTCCTTTCTTTTTTAAGAATTTCATACAAAATGTAGCAGGTAAGAAAAAGGGTTTAGTTGGTACTTTTTTATGATGTAACTTGGGAAAAAAAAACAACAACAAGAAACGGTGCCTGTCTGTTGGCTAAGATGAAGCAGAGTCACTGGGGAAGCGTCTTTTCTTTGGTGTGTTCCTGAACCGTGGCTGGCAGTGAGAAGATGAACCAAGTCTCAGTTTCTCTACCTCCCCTCCTTGGAGAACATTTGGAAATGTACCCTGTGAATAAAATGGGTTTCTTTTCGACACAGTTTGTCAAGTCTTCTTATTTCCGCGACATGAGTTTGCCATTTCCTTCTGAGTTCTCCCTGTACTTCGTCTCTCCCTCGGTGGCCCTGTTTGACCCTTCCCCTGTGGGCGGATGTCGTACTGCTTAATAAGAGTTCTGTCTTAGTAAGAAGCACAGGATTACATGGCCGGTGAGAAGGCTCGGCGGGTAAGGGAGCCCGCTGCCAACCTGGCGACCTGAGTTTGATCACGGGGGTCTGCATGGCGACAGACAGCTCCTGAAAGCTCACCCTAACACTCATGTGTGTGCCGTGACACATGTGCACTCGCAGGGCGCACATACAGACAAAATTAACAAATAAGATCTATTGCAAAAGTTACAGGGAAAATACAGATAGAATTACAGTTGGTGTGTCAAGGACAGCACCACATAGAGCTTGTGAGATGGCTCAGTGGGTGCCACCAAGTCTGGTGACTTTAATTTGATTCTTGGAACCCTCACAGTAGAAGGGAACCTGTCTTTTGACCCCCAAATATATGCCGTGTGAATAAATGTAAAATAAGTAAATAATACATAATTGTAAAATAAGTGAATCAATGTAAGTTTTGAAGGGTTTTTTTTTTAACATTTTTTGTGTATATGGTGTCTTGTCTGCATGTGTGTCTGCGTGTGCACCACACAGGTGCAATGCCTGAGGAGGGCAGAGGAGGGCAGAGGAGGGCAGAAGAGGGCATCAGATTTCCTGGAACTGGAGTTATGAGTGGTTGTGAGCCACCACCAACTGGGTGCTGGAACTGAACTCTTGTCCTTTGCAAGAGCAGCCAGCGCTCTTAACCACTGAGCCATTTATCTAGACTGAAAACAAACAAACAATCGCTGCACAGTACATGAAAGGATTCATCTTGGGCAGAGGACAGACTCTGTCGCCCCCGCAGAGCAGAAAGGACATCATGCATCTGCATAGCGAGACTAACGTGCAGGAGCCTCTGTTTCCCGCGATGCAAGTGTTCATCATCGTAACGAGCCGGTTTCAGTGTGTGTCTAGACTCCTGCTCGGTTCAAAGTGGGTGACTGAGAGGCCACGTATACCTTCCTGTCAAAATCACTCAGGTAATTGCTTCGTACTCCCTGTCCCTTGGGCTCTGTGTCCCAGTTCTGTCAGACACTTCCGCGGAGGGAGGGAATGATATCAAGAAAGGTGCCCCTGTCCATCCTTTATGATGCACTTCTCAGAAACTGATCCAGGCACTTGGTACAGATCTTATTCATTGTCTGACTTCATTTCCACAGTAGTCTTTTAGGCCACCGCTGTTTTAGGAGGAGTCTATGAGTTAGTGGAGATGAGGCATGGTGTTTAGTAAATCACTTCACGGGTCGGGAAGACCTGTGGTATAAACTCGGGTTACCCTAACTGTGTGAGGAAAACATATTTAGTTTTGGTAACCAGCTATCCTTAGGTCACACAGCTGTTCTACTATATAAGAGCCCAAAGGCAAATGTATTTTCAAGAATTTCCCCCAAGCCTGAAAGTAGGATAGTTGCAAGTCAAAGGTTATCGAGATGATAGGAGGAATTAATTTTATTTTATTGCTTTTAATTTACGTGTAGTGTGTCTGCCATTTGTGAGTGGTCCTGGAGGCCAGAAGATGTTTACTTCTCTAGAGCTGGAGTCACAGGTGATTGTGAGCCATCCAGCATGGGTGCTGGGAATCAAACTCAGGTCATCTGGAAAAGCAGTGAATTCTCTTAACCACAGAGCCATCCCTCCAACCCTGTATACTGGGAACATTTTTATGATAAACAGTGAAATGAAAAGATGAATTGAAAGACAATTAAGAGCTTATTGGTGTGAAACTAGATGTCAGTCAAGACTATTCTGACATTTGCATGTACAGAGAAGACAGTTGAGCCTGGTCAGGGTTATTCACTGAGGTGCATAGGGGACTGTTGGCACCAGCTTCTCACCCAGTGACTCTCTGGGGACCAATTTCTTACCCGATGACTCTCTGGGGACTGACTCTATTCCAGGATTAACTCTCACCTGGATTTTTTTTGGCTGGGCACTAGATAATCATAAGAAGCAGGTTACCCTTTGTCCCTGTCTCTGATTCTAGGCATAACCTGTGTACCTGGGACCCAAACCATGTTGTACAGAAGCCCACAGAGAGAGTAGTGAGATCATCACAGGACTCCTGGACATCCTGGCCATGCTGTTTTGGCAGTAGCTTTTGCAAAGCTGAAGGCTGAGATGATGACATCAGTCTGTAGAGCAGTCTGGAGTCGTCTACGATGCTCTTCTCCATGCAGCCATGTAACTGAAGTAGACGTATATTCTGGGACTTCCTATTCTATCCTCATTGTTTTCTGCTAACACCAACATCTGTGAACTTATCGAAGGTATTTACCGTGGTATTATTACATACTGTATACACTGTGGCTGTGAAGAGACCCCATGATCAATGGCAACTCCTACAAAGGAAAACTTAACGGGGTGGCTTACGGTTCAGTGGCTCGTTCAGTTCAGAATCCTCATGGAGGGACATGACATATTTGGGAAGACATGGTGCTGGAAAGGTAATCCAGAGTTCTATGTTTGTGCAGGCAATAGAAAGTGAACTGAGATGCTGGGTGTGGTTTGAGCACATGTGAGCCCTCAAAGCCCGCCTCCACAGTGACACACTTCCTCCAGCAAGGCCACACATGCTACATTCCTAATTGTGCTACTCCTTATGAGTTTATGAGGGCCAATTGCACTCAAACTACCACATGCCACTCCCTGGCCCCATAAGCTTATACTAATATCATAACGTAAAATGCATTTAGTCCAACTTGCAACTCCAAACATGTATTTGCATGTCTGATGTCAAAATGCTCTTCATCTGTCCAACTCCTTTCTGCTTTGTTGACTGTAACACACTTCTTTCTCTTAGGCTGGTTCCACCCGCCCTGTTAACCACTCTCCTTGGTAGGTATCCCATGGCTCTGGTGTCTCCAACATCTTGGGGTATCCAAGGCAATCCAAGCTTCAATTTCACAACTTCAGGAAATGGCCTCTCTGGGCCTCCATTCAGGGACACCCCACCCCCCCCACCCGGCTCCCGATACATGCCTGACCTCAGCAGTTTCCTTAGTAGCTTGGGCAAGTTCCACAGCTCCTTTCTTCTATCCTTAATTCCAGAACCACATGACTGAAGTTGCCAAGTTCTGCTGCTTACTAGGGCTGGAGCATGCACAACCCCCCCTCCCCCACTCAATTACATCTTCTCCAACTTTCTGTATTTAATGGTTTTCTTCACTGTCTAAGCTTGGCTGTCCTGAAACTGGATCTGTAGACCAGGCTGGCCTAAAACCCAGAGGATCTACCAGCCTCTGCATCCCAAGTGTTGGCATCAGAGGTGTGCGGCACCACACCAGCTCTAAGATTTCTTTAGTTCCTTTTCACAAGTTGGAAATTTAGCTGTGTTGGATCTTGCCCTGAGGTCACCATTCCCTTTATTCCATTTCTGAATCTGTTTATCTTCTTGAACACAGGACTTAGCTCCATTCTATTTCCTGGTGCTCCTTTTCTCCTCAAATTGTACATTTTGTACTTTTCCTTGTTCAGCTTGCTCCTTTTCTTTATAAATCTGTATAAGAGTGACCAGTAATAACCACATGGCAGAGTCTATACTAGGCTGTTTTGAGTGTAATTAATCCAAATCTCTTCACTTTAGTCTCAGGCAGACACTTTCTTCACTAAAATATCACAAGAAAGATCTCTAGGCAACATACTAAAATTCTTCTAAAGTTGTATTCAAAACACGGCACTATCCTTTTGACCAAGGAACACACATCAAATTGAAAGAAATATTGCAGAGAGCTCAACGCAATGGGATTAACTAGTGTTACTTTTAATCATGTCATGTAGAAGATACATGCTCCATGGAGTGATATTTTCTACAGCCCAGTAAAATTCGTTCTGAGGGACAAAAACAAATTCTTATGCATTAAAACAGTTAAGAAGAGCTTTTGTTTTAAGATGGGTCTCATGTAGCCCGGGCTGTCCGCAGACTCACTAAGTAGCTGAGGGTGTGATCCTCTGACTTCCATGCCCAGTTTACTGAGCACTGGCAATCAAACCCACGGCATTGTATATATTAGCAAGCACTCTGCCAACTGAGTTACACACCCAGCTCAGGGGGAATATTGAAACTTTCCTCAAGATTTGGTGTGGGGGAATAGCAAAAACAAATTGTTCTTGAACTGATTCTGTTCCCTAGTACAAACTTGGTGTGAGTGGATAGAGACGCACATTAAGGGCGAGAAATAATGCCTTGAGGGGTTGAAGGTCCTCTGACAGGATGTGGTGAATGGTTACGGATGAGACCAACTTTCTTGGCTAGATGTTTGGATTATATTCAAAATGGTTTTTAAAAGACAGATGTAAGTGAGGCTCTACATGTGTTAGTTTTCTGGGTTATTACTTTTTTATTAATTTTTAAAAAGTTTTAGCATTCACTTATCAGCCACTAGCCTGGTTCCACTGTCCCAATATTGTGACTAGAGCAGCAATAAGCACAGAAGGACTGACTGTTCACCCTCTGTTGCAAGGTGAGGGTCCTCAGGGTGTGTGTCCAGAAGTGATAGAACTAGATCCTATGATGGTTCTGTTATTAGCACTCTGGGGAACCTCCACACTGAGTTGCAAAGTGGCTACATCATTTCATACTTCCCTAACAATGGGTACGTGCCTCTATTTCCATAACCTTCCCCAGGATTTGTGGTCATTCAATTTTTGATACTAGCCATTCTAACTGGAGTAAGATGAAATCGCAAAGTATTGTAATTTGCATTCCCCTGCTTGCTAAGGGTGGACTTTTTTTTTTTGAGTATTTATTAGGCATCTTTGTTTCTTTTCTTTCTTTTTTTTTTTTTTTTTTTTTTTTGGTCCTATAGAGCATTTCAGTGGGGTTGTTTGCTCGTTTGACATTTAACGTGTAGCGCTTCATATTTGCATCTGGAAGACCCCTGTGCAACT